ACTACCTTCCATAATGACTATGCTACCATCCATTGGAGTAACAAAGATATCGACAACAAACTACCTTCCATAATGACAAGGCTATAATCCAATGTAGTAACAAAAACCTAGACAACAAACTACCTTCCATAATTATAAGGCTACCATCCATTGTAGTAACATAAATCTCGACAACAAACTACCTTCCATAATGACCAGGCTACTATCCATTGGAGTAACAAAAATCTCGACAACAGACTACTTTCCATAATGATAAGGCTACCATCCATTGGAGTAACAAGGATATCGACAACATACTACCTTCCATAATGACAAGGCTAGCATGCATTGGAGTAACAAAAATCACGACAAAAGACTACCTTCAATAATGACAAGGCTGCCATCCATTGGAGTAACAAAAATCTCGACTATAGACTACCTTCCATAATGACTAGGCTACCATGCATTGGAGTAACAAAGATATCGATAATAGACTACCTTCCATAATGACAAGGCTACAATCTAACGTAGTAACATAAATCTCGACAACAGACTATCTTCATTAATGACAAGGCTACTATCCATTAGAGTAACAAAAATCTCGACAACAGACTACCTTCCATAATGACAAGGCTACTATCCAATGGAGTAACAAAAATATGGACAACAGACTACCTTCCATAATGAAAAGGCTAACATACATTGTAGTAACAAAAATATGAACAACAAACTACCTTCCATAATGACAAGGCTACCATCCATTGGAGTAACAAAAATCACAAAGACAGACTACCTTCCATAATGACAAGGCTACCATCCATTGGAGTAACAAAAATCTCGACAATAGACTACCTTCTATAATGACAAGGCTACCATTCATTGGAGTAACAAAAATCATGACAAAAGACTACCTTCCATAATGACAAGGCTGCCATCCATTGGAGTAACAAAAATCTCGACAACAGGCTACCTTCCATAATGACTAGGCTACCGTTCATTGGAGTAACAAAGATATCGACAACTGACTACCTTCCATAATGACAAGGCTACAATCCAATGTAGTAACAAAAATAACGACAACAAACTACCTTCCATAATAATAAGGCTACCATCCATTGTTGACACATAAATCTCGACAACAGACTACCTTCCATAATGACAAGGCTACTATCCATTGGAGTAATAAAAATCTCGAAAATAGACTACCTTCCATATTGACAAGGCTACCATCCATTGGAGTAACAAAAATATCAACAAGAGACTATCTTCCATAATGACAAGGCTACCATCCATTGGAGTAACAAAAGTCTCGACAACAGACTACCTTCCATAATGACAGGACCACCATCCAATAGAGTAACAAAGATATCAACAACATACTACCTTCCATAATGATAAAGCTACCATCCATTAGAGTAACAAAGATATCGACAACATAGTACCTTCCATAATGAAAAGGCTACCATTAATTAGAGTAACAAAAATCAAGACAAAAGACTACCTTCCATAATTATAAGGCTACGATCCATTGTAGTAACATAAATCTCGACAATAGACTACCTTCCATAATGACTATGCTACCATCCATTGGAGTAACAAAGATATCGACAACAAACTACCTTCCATAATGACAAGGCTATAATCCAATGTAGTAACAAAAATCTAGACAACCAACTACCTTCCATAATTATAAGGCTACCATCCATTGTAGTAACATAAATCTTGACAACAAACTACCTTCCATAATGACCAGGCTACTATCCATTGGAGTAACAAAAATCTCGACAACAGACTACCTTCCATAATGATAAGGCTACCATCCATTGGAGTAACAAAGATATCGACAACATACTACCTTCCATAATGACAAGGCTAGCATGCATTGGAGTAACAAAAATCACGACAAAAGACTACCTTCCATAATGACAAGGCTGCCATCCATTGGAGTAACAAAAATCTCGACTATAGACTACCTTCCATAATGACTAGGCTACCATGCATTGGAGTAACAAAGATATCGATAATAGACTACCTTCCATAATGACAAGGCTACAATCTAACGTAGTAACATAAATCTCGACAACAGACTATCTTCATTAATGACAAGGCTACTATCCATTGGAGTAACAAAAATCTCGACAACAGACTACCTTCCATAATGACAAGGCTACTATCCAATGGAGTAACAAAAATATGGACAACAGACTACCTTCCATAATGAAAAGGCTAACATACATTGTAGTAACTAAAATATGAACAACAAACTACCTTCCATAATGACAAGGCTACCATCCATTGGAGTAACAAAAATCACAATGACAGACTACCTTCCATAATGACAAGGCTACCATCCATTGAAGTAACAAAAATCTCGACAACAGACTACGTTCAATAATGACATGGCTACCATCCATTGGAGTAACAAAAATATCGATAATAGACTACCTTCCATAATGACTAGGCTACCATCCATTCACTACAAGAAAATTAGTGTTTAACGACACAAAAATTGCGACAGTTATGTGATAACTGTCGTAATTGACATATAGAGACAGTGTTTACGACAGTTGACACCAACCGTCCCTAATATTTATTTTGCGACGGTATATTTAACCATTATAATATTATTATTACGACGGTAAAACAACCGTCGGCCCCCATTTAACACTTTTAACATTGATTTTTCACCAACAACTAGTCACGACGGTAAAATTAACCGTCCTAAAATGCATATCACGACGGTAAAGCACCCGTCGCACCCTTAAACCTTTCACGACGGTAAAATTATCCGTCCTAAAATTCATTTCACGACGGTAAAACAACCGTCGCACCCAAAACCTTTAAAAATTCTCATGGGCACGACGGTAAAACACCCGTCGCAGTAAAAAAGTTAAAAAGCTCATAAAACATCGATTAGAATGTTTCTTTAACAGTATATTGGAATTCCTTGAACAAGTTCTGTTTCCGCGGCATCCTCGACGAATCAATCGGCGAGGGAACCCATTTCCTCATCCCATGGGTTCAAAAACCCTACATCTTCGATATTAAAACCCGCCCCCATACTTTCTCATCAATATCCGGCACCAAAGATCTTCAAATGGTTAACCTAACTCTCTGAGTCCTCTCTCGTCCCGACACCGCGAAACTCCCTGTCATCGTTCAAAACCAAATCGGCGGAGAACACAACGACCTTATCTCCTCTATATCAAATTCTCAATATTCGCCTGTCTTCACCTTAAATCGATTCAACCTTCTTCTATTTAGATTCAGTACTGTTTACCTCCGTCTCACACTTCTTAACTCATCGTGGCTTCGATTCCAATTCAGTTCCATCGTCTCAACCATAGTTTCATCGTTTTTGATTCGAAGCTCTGAAAAATTCCGCTCAATTTCTGTTTCATGCCTCAACTGTGATTCAAAGCAAAACGAAAATGTCACATATGCAAAAAAAATGATGAGAGAAGAAAGAATACTTACACGTCGGAGTCACTCCGCCAACGCTTCAATCGTGATTCAGGTATGCATTCTTAATTCCTCATTCTTCTATTATTTCCGATTCACACGTATTTTCTATTGATTCGGTACAATTCAATTATTGAAGTTTGTTGTTGTGATTGGTGTTGAAATAGAGGGAATGCTTCAAGCTTGAAGTCGCGATGATGCCATTAATGATGAAGGTTGACGAAGCTGTGTAGAATATTGTAGAGAGGTTGTGTATAGTTGGCTATTAGGATGGGATGGCTTTAGATTTGAATGAAACTGAGAGTTAGTTGCTGATTGTAATTTGAGTTAGCTAATTGTTAGTGTGAAAAAGAGTTAAAATCGTCAATATTATTAGGGCCTGACTGTTAGGAATATCAATTGAAATGGATAACTGTTAGCTTAAAGTTGTTAGAAATTGTTATGTGAGGGATTAGGTTTGTGAAGTGGATATTTAAATTGACTTGAATCTATGTGATTGACTGAATCAGTTTTGCTATGCATTGGCCTTTTTTAATTTTCTGAATGAGTGGACTATTTTTTATGGTATTCCTGAACCGATTTTATGTGTTGTAGGGTTGTTAACTGATATAATGATTGGTATTATGTCTGTTGCATTCACTTATTTTTGGTATTCGAGCTGAAGGAGAGAGTGACACTACTATATTGATTTCCGAGGCTACTGCTGCGGCTGGGATGGGGTTGGTTGAGCTTAGGAGGATTGAAGCTTCCAGGGAAGTTGCTGGAACGCTTGCGAAATCGCCTAATGTTACTTATCTTCCTGGTGGAAACAACATGATGATGGCTCTTAATCCTGTTGGTTGATTATCACGGTAATCATCTTTTCCTCACTTTTCAAATTTTTATTTATTTATTTATTGAGTTTGGTTTTTCATTGCGGTTATAGTCATGAATTGAGGCACACTGCAGTCCATATATCAAAAACCTTGCTGTCACAATTGAAATTGCAGTGGCAGGTGGCAGACCTTTTAAAACCCTAGTTCATTGCTATTTGTTACATTGCAATCCACACAATGTGTGTTCTTCGTATTTATGGTTGCCATTGGATATAGATATATAATCAATAGTTAATAAGTTACTTGAGTTTCAATTGTAGTTAAGTAGCAGGTGTTGAAGTTGTTGGTAAATGCCACAATGATATTGGTAGCGATGCAGTTTTTGAGACATGTTGTGATGTTGTTGCTGTAATATTGTTTGACGTAGAGTGATCTGGAAGAAAGTGGGGTGTTGCTTTTTAGTCTTCCAGTTGAATTAATGGATTATATGGAGGGTTCTTGTGAATGTGGTTGTTTGTTTTGGTTCTCGGTAGGTTGTACTTATAGCTTTTAGGAGGATTAGACTTAGATAGAGTGCTTATGGCGCTGTTCTGACCTTTCCTCTCCTAATAATTTTCAAGTTTCTTTCTCAAAGCTACATATTCTTTCTTCATTTGTTGATAGCTCTTCCTACACCTGAGTATGTTACAACAACAACCATTGTTAGGAATCATATTCCATAAATAAATGACTTAGATTTAATGCATGTTTCATTACCCTTCTACATGGGTTGTTGCTGTTGTTTGCACTATCCTTGTCGCCGTTTCATTTGCTCTTGTACGTGGTCTTCATCATCTTGGCAAGTTTCTTAAGACGAAAAATCAAGAATCACTCTTTCAAGCCTTACAAAAAATCAAAGAAGGTTTTCCTTTTTTCTTCTTCTTCTACTTGTTATTAAACTAATGATTTTCAAAATTGAGATATGTTTAGTTTTATGGTTTCTTTTAGATTTTTATTATTTATATTATTACTATGCAGAGTTGATGCTGTTGGGTTTTATTTCTATATTTCTGGCTCAAGCACAAAATGTGATTGTAGAAATCTGTGTTCCAGAAAAAAATGATGCATCATATGCTTCCTTGTAAACTTGAAGAAAGAGAATATGAACAATCAGTTGTAAAATCAAAACCAAAACCAATCGTACATTTTCAGACTTTTTTCTCTTCCAATGATGTTTTTGGCACTGCTAGACGCCTTCTTAGTGATAATGGTAATCATCCATCACAAGAGGGACAACATGGCTACTGTGCTGCCAAGGTATGATATGTTATTGCCTTTTTCATTTTGTTCAAGGTTTTAATGACTATTACATAAGGGTGCAAGTCAGTGTAAAATCCACTCACAGTCATATATCATGTTTATTCTCTTAAATGTTATTTAAACAATTTTAATTTGATGACTTATCCTATTATCCACTTTAATCATATTTTGTATTATCATTAAATTATTTTCAGGGAAAGGTTCCTCTGTTATCATTGGAAGGACTGCATCGCCTGCATATCTTTATTTTTGTCCTAGCTATTTGTCATGTGGCCATATCTGTTTTGACTATTGTTTTTGGAGGATTAATCGTGAGTATCTAATCATATGATTTTTTTAATCATAATCTGTTTTTTGTTTACAGCTCTTCTCTATTAATAAGAATTGTTGTCAATTATAGATTTGTAAATGGAAGCACTGGGAACACTCTATTGGTGTAGATGAAGACAATGAATCACAACATGGTAAGCTAATAAACTTGATCAGTTATAATGTAATCTTAATACTTTTCTGTCATAATGAATCTTTTTTATATGGATACTACTGGTCTAGTGCAGCTTCGGAGCGGGCGGAGGAGGTGACTCATGTTCATGAGCATGAATTTATACAGTATCATGTTTTTGGTTCTGGCAAAAATTCTGCTATAACAGGATGGGTGGTAGGTTAATTGTATGAAGTTAATCATATTTTACTGGCTTTATCATGTTGTTATTGACATTATGTTTATGATTAGTTCTGATTTTTGTTTTTTTATTTCAGAGATCATTTTTCAAGCGATTTTATGGATCTGTGACAAAGTTGGATTATGTAACATTAAGGCGAGGTTTCATTATGGTAAGATTATAGTGTGCTGCATTTGCTTCTATTATCTATGCTCGAACCATATTATTAATTTTGTTTCTCTACTTTAGACTTATTGTAGGGGCAATCGAACGTTTAATTTTCATAAGTACATGAATCGTGCACTTGAAGAAGACTTCAAGAAAGTTGTTGGTATAAGGTATTTGTTTCTGCCAAGCTTCTATATTTATCACAATCTTCATCGGTAGTTAATCGACCTGGTTTTCTTTGTAGACTTATAGTGTAAAGTTATTGATTCTTTCTTGTCACTAATTTATAATTTTATGTTGATGTTTACAGTTGGTATCTTTGGATCTTTGTGGTCATATTTTTGTTGCTTAATATCCATGGTACGCTACAAGACTTGGCACTTTTGTTCTGTTTCTCAGTAGTTCTGCTGCATGCTAACCATATTTTCTACCTTAAGTATAATGGTTATTATTACCTGTAACAATGCTTTAAAAACTGCATTGAAACCCGTTCAGTTCAACTAGTTGAATCAAGAACTACCAGTTTGATGTGTAGTTTAATCTTGGTTATACCACAGTCTCGTTGAATTAACAATTATGTCATTGTCCAATCGAAACTAAGATTTATTTTTATTGTTTCAGGTTGGCATGCATATTTCTGGATTGCATTCATTCCTATTATTGTAAGTATCTTTATAATTTTTATTTTCTTTTGGCTCTTTTCTCCATTCAAGTAAAGTTGATATATTTATTTTCCAATTTCTGTAGGGCTCATGCTCAGTATCCATTTCAACGTACTAAGCTCCATCATATATGCGTTGTATACTTCGAATGGCCTTCGGAGAGAACAGGTACTTTATCTAATTTCAAATGCTTATTCTTGTAACTCAAGAATTTGTGCTCCGAGTCATGTCATTAGTCTTAGTCAAGAATTGGTATATGCTACCTCTTGGATGAAAATTTGGAAGTTGTTTGAAATGCTGATTGTTGGTTCATGAAATAGATGGATATATCCTTCCATGTATAGTCGAAAGGGATTTACGACGATTTGCCAATTTGCGATCAACTTCGTCTGAACTTGGGTTGAACCTTCCTTTACATGAGGTACTGCTAACTCTATTCCAATGGAAGACAGGTATATTAATTTGACGCATTTAAAGTTAAATTTTATGAGTATTATTTTAAAGATTATTATTTTAATACCTTTTTTTAGGGATTGGAATCACCCGCTGATGGTAGACGTTCATCTGAGTCTAGCTATCGTATTGGAGATAATGGAACTTCAGGGGGGACAAATTAGACTTTGCTATGATCGAGATAATTAGATTGTGAACTTTCTCATGTATTTTTGGCATAATGATACTTATTATTATAAGATTAGGAATTGATATATTTTGGGTTTTTTGTACTACTTGACATGATTATGGAACTCGCATTTTACATGATTATGGAACACACATTTTTTTGGATATTATAATGCTTATTTGATGTTAAATATTTTTTATTGAAATTATTTTTACTATATTACAAAGTGATAGAAAATAAAACAAAAAATAATACTATAAATAAATATATTAAAGAAGAAATAATTTAAAGAAAAAAATAACACAAAAAAAAACTATATTTAAAATTTTTTACATAGATAATAATTTAAATAAAAAATATATATAATAGAAAAATAAAAAAAAATCAAGACATAAACAAAAGTCATGGCGACAGTACCGAACCGTCGTAATCAACAAAAGTAATGACGGTATCGAACCATCGCCATAAACAATTTAATCAATTTCAAAAGATATTCACGACAGTATCGAACCGTCGCCATCAATAATTAAAAGAAACTCAAAAGATACTCACGACGGTATCAACCCGTCGTAAACTTGAACGACAGTTTTTGTAACCGTCGCGAAATAGGTTGGGGACACACACTTCTGCGACGGTAAAGCAACCGTCGTGGAAAGCAAATTGCGACGGTTTTAACCATCGTAATCTACAAAAATACCTGTCGCAATCTGCCAATTTTCTTGTAGTGATTGGAGTAACAAAGATATCGACAACAGACTACCTTTCATAATGACAAGGCTATCATCCATTTGAATAACAAAAATCTCGAAAACAGACTACCTTCTATAATGACAAGGCTACTATCCATTGGAGTAACAAAGATATCGACAACATACTACCTCCCATAATGATAAGGCTACCATCCATTGGAGTAACAAAGATATCGACAACATACTACCTTACATAATGACAAGGCTACCATTCATTGGAGTAACAAAAATCACGACAAAAGACTACCTTCCATAATGACAAGGCTGCCATCCATTGGAGTAACAAAAATCTCGACAATAGCATACCTACCATAATGACTAGGCTTCCATCCATTGGAGTAACAAAGATATCGAAAACAAACTACCTTCCATAATGAAAAAGCTACAATCCAATGTAGTAACAAAAATCTCGACAACAAACTACCTTCCATAATGATAAGGCTACCATCCATTGTTGTAACATAAATCTCGACAACAGACTACCTTCCATAATGACAAGGCTATTATCCATTGGAGTAACTAAAATATCGAAAACAAACTACCTTCCATATTGACAAGGATACCATCCATTGGAGTAACAGAAATATCAACAAGAGACTATCTTCCATAATGACAAGGCTACCATCCATTGGAGTAAAAAAAATCTCGACAACAGACTACCTTCTATAAAGAAAAGACCACCATCCATTGGAGTAACAAAGATATCGACAACATACTACCTTCCATAATGATAAGGCTACCATCCAATGGACTAAAAAGATATCTACAACATACTACCTTCCATAATGACAAGGCTACCATTCATTGGAGTAACAAAAATCACGACAAAAGACTACCTTCCATAATGACAAGGCTGTCATCCATTGGAGTAACAAAAATATCCATAATTGACTACCTTCCATAATGACTAGGCTACCATCCATTGGAGTAACAAAGCTATCGACAACAGACTACCTTCCATAAATACAAGGCTACAAACCAATGTAGTAATAAAAATCTCGACAACAAACTACCTTCCATAATTATAAGGCTACCATCCATTGTAGTAACATAAATCTCGACAACAGACTACCTTCCATAATGACAAGGCTACTATCCGTTGGAGTAACAAAAATATCGACAACAGACTACCTTCCATAATGACAAGGCTACCATCCATTCGAGTAACAAAAATATCAACAAGAGACTATCTTCCATAATGACAAGGCTACCATGCATTGGAGTAACAAAAATCTCGACAACAGACTACCTTCCATAATGACAAGGCTACCATCCATTGGAGTAACAAATATCTCGAAAATAGACTACCTCCCATGACTACTAGGCTAGCATCCATTGGAATAACAAAAATCTCGACAACAGACTACCTTCCATAATGACAAGGCTACTATCCAATGGAGTAACAAAAATATGGACAACAAACTACCTTCCATAATGACAAGGCTAACATACATTGTAGTAACAAAAATATGAACAACATACTACCTTCCATAATGACAACGCTACCATCCATGGAGTAACAAAAGTCACAACGAAAGACTACCTTCCATAATGACAAGCCTACCATCCATTGGAGTAACAAAAATCCCGACAACAGACTACCTTCAATAATGACAAGGCTACCATCCATTGGAGTAGCAAAAATCTCGACAATAGACTACCTTCCATAATGACTAGGCTACCATCCGTTGGAGTAACAAAGATATCAACAACAAACTACCTTTCATAATGACAAGGCTACCATCCATTGGAATAACAAAAATCTCGAAAATAGACTACCTTCTATAATGACAAGGCTACCATCCATTGGAGTAACAAAAATCTCGACAACAGACTACCTTCCATAGTGACAAGGCTACCATCCATTGGAGTACCAAAGATATCGACAACATACTACCTTCTATAATTACAAGGCTACCATCGAATTTAGTAACAAAGATATCGACAACATACTACCTTCCATAATGACAAGGCTACCATTCATTGGACTAACAAGAATCACGACAAAAGACTATGTTCCATAATGACAAGGCTGCTATCCATTGGAATAACAAAAATCTCGACAACAGACTACCTTCCATAATGACAATGCTACCATGCATTGGAGTAAGAAAAATCTCGACAACAGACTACCTTCAATAATGACAAGGCTACCATCCATTGGAGTAACAAAAATCTCGACAACACACTACCTTCCATAATGACAAGGCTACCATTCATTGGAGTAACAAAAATCACGACAAAAGACTACCTTTCATAATGACAAGGCTGCCATCCATTGGAGTAACAAAAATCTCGAAAATAGACTACCTTCCATAATGACAAGGCTGCCATCCATTGGAATAACAAAGATATCGACAACAGACTACCTTCCATAATGACAAGGCTACAATCCAATGTAGTAACAAAAATCTCGACAACAGACTACCTTCCATAATGATAAGGCTACCATCCATTATAGTAACATAAATCTCGACAACAGACTACCTTCCTAAATGACAAGGCTACTATCCGTTGGAGTAACAAAAATCTCGACAACATACTACCTTCCATAATGACAAGACTACCATCCAATGGAGTAACAAAAATCTCGACAACAGACCACCTTCCACAATGACAAGGCTACCATCCATTGGAGTAACAAAAATCTCGACAACAGACTACCTTCCATAATGACAAGGCTACCATCCATTGGAGGAACAAAAATCTCGAAAATAGACTACCTCCCATAATTACCAGGCTACCATCCATTGGAATAACAAAAATCTCGACAACAGACTACCTTCCATAATGACAAGGCTAACATACATTGTAGTAACAAAAATCAGAACAACAAACTACCTCCCATAATGACAAGGCTACCATCCATTGGAGTAACAAAAATCACAATGACAGACTACCTTCCATAATGACAAGGCTACCATCCATTGGAGTAACAAAAATCTTGACAATAGACTACCTTCAATAATGACATGGCTACCTTCCATTGGAGTAACAAAAATCTCGACAATAGACTACCTTCCATAATGACTAGGCTACCATCCATTGGAGTAACAAAGATATCGACAACATACTACCTTTCTTAATGAGAAGGCTACCATCCATTGGAGTAACAAAAATCTCAAAAACAAACTACCTTCTATAATGACAAGGCTACTATCCATTGGAGTAACAAAAATCTAGACAACAAACTACCTTCCATAGTGACAACGCAACCATCTACTGGAGTAACAAAGATATCGACAACATACTACTTTCCCTAATTACAAGGATACCATCCATTGGAGTAACAATGATATCAATAACATACTACCTTCCATAATGACAAGGCTACCATTCATTGGAGTAACAAAAATCTTGACAAAAGACTACCTTCCATAATGACAAGGCTGCCATCCATTGGAATAACAAAAATGTCGACAATAGACAGCCGTCCATAATGACAAGGCTACTATCCAATGGAGTAACAAAAATCTCGACAACATACTACCTTCCATAATGACAAGGCTACAATCCAATGGAGTAACAAAAATCTCGACAATAGACTACCTTAGATAATGACAAGTCTACCATCCACTGGAGTAACAAAAATCTGAGCAATAAACTACCTTCCATCAGGACAAGGCTACCATCTATTGGAGTAACAGAAATCACAACGACAAGCAACCTTCCATAATAACAAGGCCACCATCAATTTGAGTAACAAAAATCGGGACAACAAACTACCTTCCATAATGATAAGGCTAC